TTTTATATAGTATATAAGGCAAGGGTTTATAATTTATACCCTTCCTTATGAACTCGTTCAAAATAACAATGAAAAAGCTCGCCCAGGGAAGGGGTGGTGAGTTTTTTGGCACTTAATGCAGCTTAAAAGGGTTCCATAGCACCGACATGCTTGAGAACCCCCTGGTTTAGAAAACTGTGCGCCAGTGTGTGTCTGCGGAGTCTTAATTAATGCAAGTATAGTGTTCATCCTCGTCGACCAAGCTGTCCTTCAGCGAAATGGGCACCCTCACTCACAACTTCCAGGTCTCAAAGACTTTTAATATCCATTTCGAAGTGTAATGTTGCGCCACAAAGTGTATAGAGGAGAGCAAAGCGTGACTGATAAACCCGTATGGATCCCGAAACGTCCTTTTGTTGTACATTGAATTGGTCAGTGACCACATCGGCATCCTCAGGCGGGAGCAAAGTTTAAAAATAGCGATGCAGAGCTTATACAAGACTTGGACTCTATACAAACGGCTATTCACAGCCCAAGTCAATGGTATCGTGTTATTCGGAGCGAGCGCCAGTCACGGTCTTTTTTTTTTATTGCATTAGCCAGTAAAGACGTCATATGAACGTTACGACGGTCTAAGATAGGCGGCGGAAATCCTGTTTTCTGTTTAGGCCGAACATCTGCTTCTTATGCCTTGCCATGAATGAAACCATACTCCAAACTAGGTGATGCCACTCCAGTTGCTATTTAAGCTATTATGTAGCTTGAAAATAGACTAGCCAGTAATGGCGTGTCATGAAGGGTACCGTAGTCCATCCAGTATTCGTGGTGCCAATTCATATTTAAGCAATATTGTATATAGGTTGCGAAGGATTAGCCAGCATTGACGTGTCATGAAGGGTACCATTGTCTGCATTACGAGGGGCCTGCCCACTTTCCTATTTAAGCAATTTTGTAGATTGCAAGAAAATTAGTTATCACAAGTAAATTCAGAGCACTCCATTCCCTTTTCACGTATCACTGTGTTCCCGGACATGAAAACAATGAAGTGAGGTTTTCAGTGGAATAGACCTTTCATAAGGCAAGCTTTAGAACATTGGTCTACAAAGCAAGAAGATAAGAAGACACGCACACATCCAGCAACGAGCATCAAACGAGCACATAATAAATATTAGGAATATTCGAGCTAAACATTGACTGGCTATGGAGCTACAGACAGGGTGTTTTAGAAATGTGCCCTGAAGGCGCTTACTATCGATTGGTCCTTGAATGAAGGCGGCTGGTCGTCTACTGGTTCATATGCCTAAGCGGTACAACAAAATCTAATCGGTTTGGTCCGAGTTGCTTTCTGCACAGGACACTCACGTGTCGAACTATCCGCAACATAATACCGTAATCTCAAAAAAACGTTGCGGTGACGGTTCATAACGTATCTTGACTGTACCTTTCTCTTATCGCTCCCTGTCAGTTAGGATCTGTGACAGTTGGCCACTCACGCGCAACGCACGAGCTCTTGGCTCTGAGATAACGTTGTTGGCCTGTGGATCTGTAATAAGAACTGTTAGGTTACCACGTTTCAACGCTCGATCTTGCTCGTCGCCATCGTCACCTGCGCCTCCCGCCTTTTGATAGCCATTCCGGTGCTTTATATACCAACCGCTCGCTGTCCAACACATTGAATGTCCTCCCCAAGTCGCTTACCTTTGTTTAATGTACACTTTAATATAGGCTGTCCCGGTCTGTCTTCTCACAAATTCTTCATCAGTTATTATTCTACGAAATGCAATACGCCTGAGAAAAGGGACAGTAATCAGGGAAGTTTCCACAAATCAAAGGGACAGCAAAGCAATAAGCGTAAATGTGTTATACTATAGGCGATTTTCCAGAAGCTTGGCATCTTGACCAGAATGAGGTCACAAAGTAATATATAAAACAAAAATAACAATAATTTGGGGTTTCACGAGCTACAACCAAGATCTGGTAGTGGAGTATTTTGGATGTTTCGAGATTTAACGTGCATTGACACTGCATGGTACAGGAAGTCTTGCATTTTTTCTCCACCCAAATGCGACCGCCCCGATCCAGGATTAGCCGGCAGCTGCGCACCGTAACCGGAGTGCCACCGTGGGAGATACAACTTTGATAACTCTCCCAGCCCTAATATAAAATGCAAGAGAGCACGTGAAAGTACTCCAGTTGTTTATCTGCCTCACTATAACAGCGAAACTTTAAAAGTAAATAAGCAATCTAGCAACTCATCATCTATGATGTTTCAATTTGGTGCCAAGATCATCGTCACTGCAACGTTTTACGAGCGTCAATGCACGCCGACTCATTTGTCATCATAAAGAAGTGGAGGATATCATGTTCGTCCATCGTATTGTTTCCTACCTAACTTACCGACTGAATCTATATACTCAAGGGTTCAACAAACTCACTTTCCATAAAAGAAAAACAAAGTGACAAATATCCAGTGTTAAGAAGTGACGCGATCACTTTTGACCCTCCTATGTAAATGCTGCCCCGACACCCCCGCGTTCAACAACTAGACTTAAGTTAATCTGCTTGAAAGCCCAACAAGGAAAAATTAGCGCTACAATGTTGTGGGCAGGAGCACGTTGTACAGTCGGTTAAGTAATAATCTTAATATACTGTACACCACTAGAGCCGCTGCCGGTGTGTGGATGAGGCCCATTGATGTTGCTTAGAGTTTTGCATCCTACAGACGTGAGGTTACTATAGGGATTTCCTAGAATTGTGCTTTTGGACGGCTCGTCGAGAGGCCGAGGTCCTGCTCTTCAGCCAATCGTCGTTGATTTGGGAGAGCGTGTCGGAGAGTGTTAGACAGCCAGGGATATGAAGGATACGGGGAATGGTCTATATCAGCATCGACCACGTGTGCTTGTAGCAACGAGTCTTGACTCTGAACTCTTTCCTCGGCAGCCAGCGCCACTCCCGGTCACGTCACGCACCACTTCTTGGTGAGCAAAGCCTATGGGATTATCCCGGCGCCCCCCCCCCCCCCCCCCCCCCCAATCTCGGAGGCTACGCGGTAACGCTCCGCAGTAAGAGTTTTCCGGGGGAGACACCACCGCAAAATGGCGCCGATGAGCGTTACGGTATATATGGCCTACGAGAGCGACGGCATCCAATTCTGGTTTCGTCTCAAGTGGTGGCGCTCCTGTTCCATTACGACATAGTTACTTCTCAGCCTATGCAGCAATCGTAAACCGACAAATCACGAGACCATTATTGTTTAGTAGTTTGGAAGACCCGTTCATGAGGAAAACGGAGTTAGACCACGCACCAGTACCACGAAATGGGCATCTGGCGTCCAGCTGTGGGCGTCACCCTCACACCAGCAGTTCATCTGCGTGCTTGACCATTGGCTACGATTCTTCTGAGCAGACGGTAAGAGTTCTAAGCGAACACAGTGCCACCGGCTTGTGACGTAACGTACAGGCCTCGGGGACGCACACACACACACGCACACAATCCACGCATCTCCGAGGACATATTTCATGCTTTCGAGTGTTCCTCCTCTTCTCCATTCAATCATCGCAGATAAAGCGTTGGGGAAAAACAAAACAGGAAAACACACGCACCATTAGGGTTTTAGACGAAAGGAAGCGTCCGACGTCACACAGTTCGTTGCGTCCATCGAACTGTTCGCCCTAGGGCTAGACGGCAGCGTAGCGACGAAAGTTGCCAGGGCACAAGTCATGTGTCTCTGCTGCTTGCTTGAGCACGAAGAACGACACCGTCATAGTAATACCCTGATAATGAGAAGTTCACCTCACGACTATATATCCATATGTAGCACTTTGTAAAACCCCGAGCATTGTTCCTTTGTACTGGCGATAGAATGGCTCCCACGCACCCGAAGCGCGTATGCGCAGTCAGTGACACACGATCAATGAATGAAATGGAAAGCCCTTGTCTAGATGCGCAAAGTATTAAAGCGGTCAACGCGCGCATAAGTGCACCAGACGCCTTACCTTAAATGTAACCCGAAAGACGTTCTAGTCGCTTGGTCATAAGGGCTGCTGATGGGAACCAGTTGGAAACAGTACTGACTTGTTTTAAATTGTAGTTAATTATGTCCTACAGGCACTGCTTGTCGTAATGTCTATACCGTAGCTCTAACAAGACCATATGGCTTTTTTTTTCTTTTGCTAAGTACGTTAGCATGTATAAGATTAAAATGGACTAATGACAACTGAACGATGTACCATAAAGCGAGTCGACCATTAGTGTATCGATAATTGGCGATAATGAAACTACGATTCATCATGCAAGCGCGAACTTTAGGAGTAATCCAGCTAATCAGAAAACTGAGCTGCCGTCGAAAATTTGAAGTAAGTTTGTTCTATGAGACAGTCCCGCAGAACATTGCACATGTCCTTATTCCTGTACGAGCCCGCACGCTAATTATGTTACTATGAGTGCATTCAATACTTGTGTGTTCTTTCGTAGGCTTCGGAAAGTAGCTTTTTACAGGAATGGCGACGAGAATCCGCGAAGTTGCACAATTAATTGGTTGATTTCTTTTCACTTTTTTTATCAACTTTGAAACACGAATGCGCTTAGTGAGAGATAGTCTAATTATCATGGAGCACGCATGCTTCACTTCCAATATTCTATGACCCGACGTTGCTGAGCGGGAAAGCTCTCGCTAGCAACAACAATACTACTTCTGGTACGGCGGAGCCTTTCGTTCTTCTTTGACAGATCGATGGGGCTAACCTGAAGCGTGAAGGACAATTCATCCAGGCCAGCGGCGTTCCTGGTTTGATCGCGTGATTTACGACGGTGACGAAGCGGCGCGTTCGGGCACGTGGGAGCGATTCGGAAGTAAAGAGATAGAGAAGATAATACTTGGAAAAAGAATAGAGAGAAAAAGACAGACAAAAAAGGAGCACGTGGCTAATCTCAGTGGCGGATTGCAGCGAAGCAATGTTCCGAGAATCGTCTAAAGGCCCTGCTATTCTTTTCCACGCCGATGGGACCACCAAAATATACGCTCAGACTGAAGCCCGTTTCATCATGAGCGCGTCCATTGGTAGCAACACGTCATCATGGGCCAGCGACGACTCCACTGGCGACGGGGAATAGCGCAGCGAGTACCTGTACAAGAAAGAAAGATAGAATGAAAGACAGCCATTAATAAAACCACCTCTTTCTCACTTTGTACTCTCTGTTGCGTTTGTGTGGTCTGAGGTTTCGGAAGGGGGGAACAACGCGATACACCAGCGGCAGGTAGCTATGTACATAAATGGCATTGCGGAACAAATACAAAAAGATCGACAGAAAGAAAGAAAATAGGTGGTGGAGAAGAAAAGAGGAGGATGTTAACCACTCCAGGATAAGAGGTTAGCTACCCGACAGGTGGGAAAGAATGGGGGAGGTTGAAAGAGGGAGAGGAAGCAGAAATAAAGATAGCCTGTCCCACAGTACACGCGCAAACACGCAGTCAGTCGCAGGGGCACGTTACTAGACATCATCGTCATAGCCGCTTGCCCAAGTTCGTTTTTCTCAAAGACCACAATAGTTTCTTGGTCGTCTTCAGCTGCGATGTACTCTGTCGATGACATGAGAGAATATATGTTAAAAAGACATTTGTTTATTGTCAAGCTGCGCTATAATGAACGCTAGTGACTGTCTCTGAACACTATAGACCGAACAGTCACACAGGAGACGCTACGCCTCATGGGCAGAATTTAATGTACACTCCGTAACACACGAATGCAAAAGCCTCTTGCACATTTGGTAAAATATTAGGTGATACAATCGTGGACCGTACTACGCCCAAGACACTAGGAACCGCGTTGTGAGAGGCACGTATTAAATTACATTCACGTTCTCATTCGACTGCCTTGTTTCTGCCCCCATCCTGAGAAGCTTTCTGACATTCACTTGGTGTTGCAGGGCCCCCGAAAATAGCCCACACGTGACCAAGCAACGATACTAACATGATGATGTTACGATGACGTCACGATTTCGGATTGAAGAATACTTTAGGGGCCCGCCTCTTCGCCCATCCATGCATCTCATGAGGCGTGGTCACACTCACAATAAAACTGCTCCATACAGGCCACGAAAAGTCTAGCAATGCTCAAAACCAGCCTAAAATGAACGAAAGCTGATCTAAAATATTACCGTTAGCCGAAATAACTAAGAAGTGATCGCAATATTGACTAAAACGACCAAAATATTTCTAAAACTGTGGGCAACTCGGAGGCCGAGCGAAAGAGGGCGCCACCACCTCACCGAGCGAGCGGATGCTCTTGCCTCCACGCTTTGATGCGTCGTTACAACTGATAAGGGAAATAGCCTGACGTACCTCACTGCGGACGACACGTACCTCGACTGTCATAGCAAGCACGAAGTCGATAAACCGCAGCAAATAGTAGTGTACATGTCGCACACCGAGTACATGCATCTCCCTAAAGAGATTCTAATCGTGCCCGGAAAATCCTAAACGCTTATCTCAAACATTGACGTCATCGACACTTTGGTGAACAGAACAATGGGAATTATGCGAACGGGAACCACTGGGCGCCCGCCCTACGTGCCTCCTGAGGTTTCACAGTAGTGCAACTTCTAGACATTTTTCGATTTGTGGCGTCATCATTCCGCCACGTAATTCCTCTTGCATCGCGTCATTAGTTATTTAGGTCACGTGGACTTTTGCACCACTTTATTTGTTCGCCATGCATTGCTCAAGAGGCCGACAAACTACATATTTAGGGCTTTCGCCTTAAAAGAAATAGATTACACGAACTTGCACAGAATATGGGAAATCGGTATTCAACGTTACTCGAGGCATTCTGCACGTGCATTAGGCGTATGAAATCTCTTCGGTTAGTTTCACGGTGCATTGCCGGATCGCACAAACAGACAGACAGACAGACAGACAGACAGACAGACAGACAGACAGACAGACAGACAGACAGACAGACAGACAGAGAGATAGATAGATAGATAGATAGATAGATACTATCTAGATAGATAATAGATAGATAGATAGATAGATAGATAGACAGATAGATAGATAGATAGATAGACAGATAGATAGATAGATAGATAGATAGATAGATAGATAGATAGATAGATAGATAGATAGATAGATAGATAGATAGATAGATAGATAGATAGATACGCGTTGAGGTCATCATAAATGCCCAATATAACTGGCCATACACATACAATTGCCATGAAAGGTACTGAGGATCCAAGATAAGGTTCCCGCAATAATGGTGTGGAAAAGCTTTATTTAGGTCGGTAGGGGCGTGAAATAGCAAGTAGTGCACCGTTCCCATATCGACACAGATAGGTCTAGCCTCTTCGCCACGTCGAAAGCCCGTTGGGATGCTCATAGCTGTGTCATTGAATCCGAACTGCATAGCGCAACCTCCCACTTGGACGATTTAACGTCTTCAACCTACAGACAAGGGAACCGCCAAAGCATGTGATCTAAGCTGGCAAAGTCTGAGCAAAGCGCGCACCTGCTTGACGTCTCGATTTCTAAATAAATTTAGAGGAGGAGTGCGGGACTGAAATATTCCCCGAACTACAAGAGTCCGAGCGGCAATGCGTGAGGCCTGTTCAGTTTACTGTGCAGTGGCGGATACTTTTGTCTCCTAAGATGAAAGTTCTTAGTAAATTCGTTGTCCGTCGTTCGAGGATCTTTGTTGTCCAGAACCTCATCGCTTCGCCGTTCAGCCGCTGTCGACAATTCCTCGCGCAGCTCTGTAGGCCGACTCGTTGAGTTTGGACGTAGCGCCCTCGACCTGTCCCATGTGAGCGGGGAACCAGACTATTGTGTGTCTCTGAACTTCCTCATTTCGCAATTGAAAAAAAAAAAACCTTTCCCCCTCACTCTGTGTCAGAATTCGCAACTTTTGGCCCAACTTTAACGAATCATGCAGGCAAGTCCACCAAGTAGCATGCACAAAGTAGGCGATATGCCCGACCCAACCTGTTACAAACAACGGCTCACCGTACGGTAATCAGCAGTAACTATTTATAAAGCATATACAAATGGGATTGGGCACTTACACAGAGCCTAACTGGGAGATCAACCACCCGCACTACGCTGGTAACTACGCTGGTAACTCAGCACCACTACGCTGGTAACTACGCTGGTAACTCAGCACCAGCAGGCCCCATCAGAACGCTCCATGTAATCTCACAATGAACCAATGCTGCCCACCAGTGGCTTGAAAAGAGCTGCCTCAAGGCCTAAATCGGCATAATCGTGGTGCTAATCACACATGCGGTGAAAAACGCAGCGCCAAATAAAACACAAGACCGAACGTCAGACGTGGAGACGCAGTCACTTGTGGCTCCGTAAATTTGTTCTGTTACGTCAGCCGCTTGAGCAGCACATACCATTATTTTCTTCTTGTCCCACAAGGTGCTTGGCTAAGCAACGCAATGCTCTGCCCTTATCAACAGGCGTTTATAAACTGCACTGTAGTACGCTGTCGCGTTGGCATGCGAGGGTTCCCCCACAGCGGGAGGAAAGGGGGTGGGTTAGAACGTTCGTTGCAGTGCCCTCCTTCCTATTTTGTGAATGTATGGGGTTCAATTTACACGAGAGTCGCAGCGGTCCCCTTCCTATTCTCTCACTATATAGGGCTGACTTTGTGCCCCTCTCTTAGCTCACTAGAAAGGGAGGTCACTCCCACCGCGCCCCACCCGTCCTGTGTAGTAAGCACTGCAGTAAGCAATTCATTCGCTCGAAGGATTTCAAGCTGGACGGTCGTGCTCTCGCGATGTAGCTCCCGCCGACTGGTTCACCCTCCGCGGTCTCCTGCCGCCGTGCAGCTCTCGCATTGTGGTGCCCCGCCCTTGGACTGCTTCTACCGGATCCCCACTTTCCTATCTCTTTGTATTTTCCGTCGCTTGCCTCTCTATTTCTTCATCTATTTCCTTGTATTCTTTTTATCCCTCCTTCCCCCACCCCTATAAGGCACTGCGCCATGTCGCCCTTGAGGCAGACAGAAATTAGGTGCCTTTTTCCTCTCCCTTACAACCACAACCACCAAGGCTCTGTCTGCCATATGCATGGAGTGATGTGCACCTGTGGGCGCAATATATATATATATATATATATATATATATATATATATATATATATATATATATATATATATATGTGTGTGTGTGTGTGTGTGTGTGTGTGTGTGTGTGTGTGTGTGTGTCCGTAAGACTGTGAGCGTTTTGGGTATGTTCATGGAAATTTCGCTAAACGTATGCCTTTGTGCGAACAGCCACAAAGCCACAGAGAGGAGAGGGAGGAGGCGACGAAGAGATAACAGCAAGAGACTAATATCCACAAACAGTCGACGTCTGAAAGAAAGAAATAAAGAGAAGAAAAAATAAATTAAGAAATAATAGGAAAGAGAGGCTTAATTGGCAAAGGCAAACAAAGCCCCCCCCCCCCCCCCCCTCCTCCCGAATGGCCCACCGACCGCTTATCGTACTGTCGCAGACGGCACTGAAGTCTTCTAAACGCCAAAGCGGCTCTGCTCCCTGGTGTATCAAACCAAACGCGTACGCTGCTGGCACAGCCACGTGGCGTTGTCATTTACTTTTCAGTTTGGCCGGCCAAGCCGTACAGCTGTGCCTACTGCTAGGAGACACGCTTGAAGAACCACGAAGCTGGAGGTTTAGTAACTATATATCGAAGCTAGAGTACAAGGCTTAACTGAGATAGGACGCTGTCTGATTTCTCACTATTAGCAAAACACGTGTGGTAGCCTTGGGTGTAAATTAACAGACAAAGTGACGGACATACGCAACCCTGAGGCGTTTCAAGGACAACACTACAATAAGCTTCACGAGTTTTCTTCATAGTCTTTGGGTTGTCGACTTCCACATGGCTTCCAACATAAAGCCATTGTATAAGGATGTTTTGACTTGTGCTTAGGATTTCACTCGTGTTTTTTTAATTTGTATGGTCTACTCGAGTGTGGTTTTGTAGCCGTTTCAGAAACAATTTTTTTGCACATCTCCTCTGCCGCTTTCTACTTAATCAATACAAATACAACATGTTCAGCGTGTTAGATTTGTATTTTTCATTCACCTCACCTGTTTGTAGATTCACTAACATTCACCCCACGCTGCTTGAATAGTATTGCACAACCAGCGTGAAGAAATGGACTTAAATACGCAAGGTGTGCCTGCACATAGACAATTTCTGCAAACTTGTTTGTTTTGGGGGCAGAAGATTGCCTATTTAAGCTAATCTATTAAAGTCTAATAAAGTTTGTTCTGATAAAGAATTCAATAGAATAGCTAACAAATCAGGGTACCCTAAAGCTTCGCCTTCAGGAGTTGAACGCAATAGCGAAATCCTGTACTTCCAGCACTCGGTGCATGGAACCTTTTCAAATTTGTTATTAACCCACTACGTGGCCGTAAGGGGTTAGGCGCACTAGTGTGTGTGTCTCTCATAGTGGGGTACCGGCTTTCAACGACGGAGGCATTACGATAAACGCATATTCTGACGCCCGATTGCAATGGACGGTTGTGCCATGCATTATTACTGCTATATTTTATGTTGCATTCTGATGAATGTATACAGGACGCGTGTGCTTGCAAAGCATGAAAGTTACTTTCACTGCATTTCTAAGCAGAGGAAGTTTTTTTCACTGTTTTCACGAGCAGATGCATGGCCGTATGGTAGGACATGCGCTTGCCACGCGAATGATCCGGGTCTGATCCCAAAATTGGAACTAAACAACCCTGGTTCGGTCCCCACGCTGATCCGGTGTGCTCAAATTTGGGCGCACGTTAAAGAACCCCAGGTGGTCGAAGTTTCCGGAGCCCTCCACTATGGCGTCTCTCATAATAATATGGTGGTTTTGGGACGTTCAACCCGCATATCAACCAATCACTGTGGTCCAGAATTTTATATCGTATATTTTATTTGCATCGTCCTCGGTTTTATTCAGTCACACATAAGATGATGATTTTTCGCTCACAACCAACGACGCCGACGCCTGAATTTCTGCGAAACGAGCTTTTTAACACTATCGCCTTAAAATGGCTGAACATGTGCCCTACAAACAAATAAATTAGCGAAAAATGTCTTTGTACAGAACACCTTCGCTTCTTCCACATTCGGCACCTCATCTTTCTTCTCTTATACCACGCAGCTCGCACGTGCTTGAGTTATCTATGTCGATCCTGGCAGCGTATTTGACAACCGTATGCTGGAGAACACGCGAGAGAGGGGAGACGCCCATGTCGTCTGCTACGGCGCTTCCTTGGCAGTGCCCACTAGCGCTTCGTTTGCTCTGTTTCGCACGCACACCACAGGACACGCTGAAGGCTTAGCAAACGGCTGGCGCGCGAACTTTAAATGTATCTTGCGTCAATACATTTGTTCATTTCTAATTAAATGTGTTAAAAGAGAGGTTGGTGCACAGGTATGGCTCCAGTTATCGCTTTTTTACGTTATAGTTTGAAGCAGTAATTAACCCCTCTCTTGTAGTGTGTCATAATTATATTATCTATTATAGATCATTCTTTTGGTGCTTTTTTACACTCTTGTATACTTATGTAAAAGTCCCTAATTTTTTTTAATGCGTCTTTTTGTATCGTATATACATTTTGGATTTAATATTTTTCTGGTTTTGCAGTCTATACATACTTTTTCTTATCTTGCGATAAGAAAATGGTTGCTCATTGTTGCGTGAAAATGTTTCAGATATGTTTTTTACGTTTTTGTTCGGGCTTTTGTGTCCATGAAAGAAGAAAAAAAAAAAAGATATCCATAATTTTTGTTCCACTGAATGCTAGGAAGTGCAAGGGGGAGTAGTCAGGAAGAGTTTTATTCCTTTGGGCCCTTAAACTTACGCAATTTTCTTTTTGTCTAAATAAATGAATGAATAAATGATTTAGTAAAAATAAGAAAAAATAACACACGAATGATCTTCGAAATTCCTAATTTTTATATCAAATACCCAATGCCTGAAATGTAACTGTCCGCGCAGCATGAATGTTGTCACGTGATCAATGGTAACACACACGAATTGCCCTCAGTATAAAAAACGACTCCTCAAAGTTATCACACTGCAGTGACCGGACACTTGCCCGCACATTAAGCCAAAATGTGCTGCTCATTGGAGCAAATGCTGTTAGCGTCGGCAGTTACATTATGTCTTATATTCGTCCAGGGGTACACCATCTGCCATAGAAATCTTTTTTTGCAGATTTCAAACTTGTCAAGTTACGCTCGCAAGACGTTAAGCTCGCTTTTTGCAAAGGTTCCCCGGTTTCCTGCCGTACTATATACACTTCAAGGGAAGTGCAGAGAATAACGAGAGTAAATATACCTTTCAAAAGGGACGTTTTAGTTTGACATTTTATTAACTGTAAGGTTATGTATACACGAATTGCTCCTGTCCGCAGTCGTTCATCAGCAAAAACAATCACTACACCCCTGAGAAACAATGGTAAAGTGTTACATATGGTCCTGCAAGGACTAAATTCTTGTGGTGTAACAGCTATTTCCCAAGAGGACCAATGTTTTTGGCAAGGCATCTACTGGCACAAATGTACTGCCTGCATAATACATTTACCTACACCACTTTTCAAGAGTTGATATAACAGTAAGGTTTCCAGCCGGCAGCGTATGATTCGACGAAACAAACGTTCTAGAGAGATACAAGAACGAGTGCACCAGGGAAATGTATGAAGCCCACGTGATTCACGCGCGCATTGATTCGGCTGTTAGAATGGCTTTCGTAGACCTAGAAGATGATTACGTAGACCATCGAATGCAATATTCGTACACGTGTTAGTAGAGAGCTATCATCTTATCGTTCTCTTCGTTTTTACGAGAGTGCATATTAAATAGGGCGAAATAATTCTCCTCTGTTAGTGCTTGGTCCTGTCCCTTCTCTCAATGTCCCGTTGTAACGATGTTTATCCGAACGCGAGTATACAGCACGTACATAAAGTATCGTCTTTGTTGAGATAGATAGATAGATAGATAGATAGATAGATAGATAGATAGATAGATAGATAGATAGATAGATAGATAGATAGATAGATAGATAGATAGATAGATAGACAGACAGATAAGCAGACAGACAGACAGACAGACAGAGACAGACAGACAGACAGACAGACAGACAGACAGACAGACAGACAGACAGACAGATAGATAGATAGATAGATAGATAGATAGATAGATAGATAGATAGATAGATAGATAGATAGATAGATAGATAGATAGATAGATAGATAGATAGATAAAAGTGCTCACCTCGGCTGCTGCGACTGGGGCGGCCTGGACGACCCACGAGCATAGCACGTGCACGAGCACACCGACGTCACATCGTCCGTGTCCGAGTGGTCCCCTCCGCCGTGGCCGGACACGACGCTTCCGTCGGCCGTGATAACGTCGCCCTCGAGACGCACGGCCTCCTGGGCCGCGCACTGGGCCTCCGCCTCGTCCCGCCGCTCGTCCTCGGTGTTCATGGTGAGGAAGCGCAGCACGAGCAAGTTCATGGCGGCAGACACCACAGAGAGGCCGAACAGGATGAACACCAGGCTGAAGGCCACGTACTCGGGCTTCTGCTTGAGCGCGCCCTCTTTCTGGAGCGCCACGTAGTCGCCGAAGCCGATGGTGGTGAGCGTGATGAAGCAGTAGTAGAAGGAGTCGAAGTAGTCCCACCCTTCGTACGCCGAGAAGGCGGCCGCGCCCGTGGTCATCACCACAGTGCTCAGCACCGACACCAGGCACACGAGGTTGGTCTCCGATACGTCCGTGTTGCGCATGCGTAGGCAGCGCTTGCCGTGCTTGAGCAGGTAACCGACGAACGTGTTGAGCCGCTCACCGATGCTCTGGAACATGACGAGCCCCAGAGGGATGCCGACCAAGGCGTAGAACATGCAGAACGTCTTCCCGCCCCACGTGGCTGGGGTCGAGTGACCGTACCCTGCGGCAGTGCGGGGAAGAGCAAGGCATTTGCTTTGATTCGCTTGATTGATTGTTTCATGACGCTATCGACTGAGAGTTCCAAGGATTTAAGTGAAGGAACTTGGGCTATACGTGGTAAAGTTGCATGGGGACGAACAGAGCGTCCTAAACGACGCGGACACAGCAAACAAAAGCCGTTAAAGCGCCTCCTACGCCATGTCTATTGTTCACGTTTTCCACCCCCTTCTTTGCTGTTTATCATTCACCATGTCCTAGAGGGGTGTATATGAAGAGCAAAAAATGTTAAGGCCGGAACATTTTGAAAATTGAATAACAGGAAGCTACAAGCCTATGCGCGGGAGTTTCCGTTAAGTAACGCAGATGATACATACACAGAACTTGCAAAACCTCTTACGATTGCAGGTGTGAAGCCTTTGCTATAAGAAGAAGCAGGAGAAGTCGTTTTTCGCAGGCACTCTACTGTGTCAATCAGTTTCTCGCGCACCAGCGGAGTATGATATTTGTACATCTGTGTGTTTTGCCATAAAGGCGTAATCATTGCCAAGCATCACTTTAACTTAACACCGATGATAAGTATATATGAACAGAAGCAGTCTTCAAGCAACACTATGATTCTCTTCCATTTCGTGCGTCATTATGAACGCTTGCAGCACTTCCCGCGTCGGTTGAACGGGAAACGTGTGCGCTGCTCGATCACCCGGAAGGACGCTTCTTCAAGGAACGAAAGCCGTTATCACCTCGTCTAGCGACGACTCACATTGGAGCGAATGTATTATTCATGCTCGTGCCCCGATTCAGGTCGAAAACAGAATAGAGTGCATGTACATATAGTGTTTCGCGAAAGCGTGGAATAAAAGAAAAGGGAACACCCGAAAAAAAAAACATCGTATGCACTTCCCGCCTCCTACCGATATTTTGCAATTCGTGTATACCTGGAACGCACAGTCTCCTACACATGCTCTAGTTCTGCATCTCTCACCCTCTTAGCTGCGCTCTCCTAATCACCCTCTCACGCGACCAGTCTCGCTAGCTTTTAGACAGACACTCTAACTCACGCAGTATCCCAATCTTTTCATGCGTATTCACCATCATACTCTCTCCCTTCACCCTCTCACACAAACCCACAATAGGCCTCTCTCCCTCTTGCCAACACATGTAAACTTTTGTACACAAACTATCCCACTGTTCTCTGACACACACTATCTCACTCTCTCGCTCTTCAGACACGCTTCCATTTACTCGTTTCCACACTTGCTCTCAGACCTCGCTCTTCCTAAGCCACGCACTCTCACTCAATATTCCTCTCCCTCTTACCCCCGAATGCAGAGATGTTACTTGACTCGTACTTGACTCGTTCTTGACTCAAGACCGTCTTGCCGGTCGCCATAAATCGTTCTCGAACTTGCGGATGACTTGAAGGCGACTTGGCTCGGTCGAAGTCAGGACAAGTTTCAAGTCAGCTGCGGGGCTTGCTTGAAAGCGACTTGACGCGTTATTCCAACATGGCCACCTCTCGAATGGACGTCGCGTGAAAGGTGGCCGCTTTTGAGTTTGCTTGCCTCGCCATAAGCGAAGCATTTTTTGAGGCGCACTGCCTGCCGAAGATTCTTGGAACCGCTTTACGTGACCAAGGAAACCCGATGGAGTTGTACGGCGAGCAACAATTCCACGATAGGTACAGATTCATGAAGAACGCCGTGGGGCAGCTGCTCGTTATGTTGCCGCTCCGTGAAAGTGGGGACAACCGAAGACAGCCCGTGCGTCCAGTGTTACAGCTACTGATGACTCTCAGGTTTTACAGCGCTGGCACATTCCAACCAGTCACCGGAAATTTCGTCCGCATTCCGTAGTCGACAGTGTGCCGTGCAGTCGGAAAAGTTACGCTACTCATCGCAAAGCACCTGTACGCGATGCTGGTGCGCTTTCCGCAGCCGGCGGACTGTTATGAAGTGGCTGAGTTCCCTTGCGTGACAGGTTGTGTCGACTACACACACGTGCGTATTAATAGCCCCGGTGTCGACAACGCCGAAGTGTTCCGTAACCGCAAAGGCTATTTCTGTTTTTCTATAACACGACGACACTTTCCGTCTCTTTCGGTAAAAAAAAAAAAAAAATTGACTCGGTGCTGTGTCCGTGTGCCTCGTCTATCCTTTCGTCCCGTCTAGGGCGCTGTTTCTCGCTCAGAAAGGCATCGCTTGTAGCACAACACTACGTAAAGTTACACACACACAAAAAAAATAGGTGGCCCTATCACGGGTTTTTTAATCCGCGTCACCATCATGCAGCGATACATTGCTGCACCCCGCGAGACAGAATTCTGCTGAGGGCAATGTCCTGACCCCCGCTTTTTCTCTTGTTTACCAAGCTCAACAAAAGGATATGAATCACATTTGTTCCCAGAACTTGTTTTTTTTTTTCATAACTGCGACCTAGCCTATTACAGGCATGCACACAGGCGAACAGAAAGGCAAATACCGTGAAAATCGCGTCACCTCGTAAGCCAGGTCAGCACAAATACATGCCATGGCGTTCAATTGAGGAAAAAAAAAACGACGAAAGAACCCAACGCGATGCTTGTTTCGCCTCCAAACAAGCAACCATGGAAAAACGCACCGCATTTGGGTGGCCACTAAAACCAGCGGACAACGAACGCTTTACAGAAGCAACACTGCGCATCGCTGTGGTGGCAGGCACGACGTGCCGCTCGTTAGCCGTAAAATGGCAAGAATATGCTTGTGGCCCTTCGTTTTTATAGTTATTTTAAAACGTATGGTCTTTTTTTGGTGTAATGCATGCCTTACGCGAACAACTTCATTAATACCCTCGTTAGCAGGCAAGCAGCGTGTTTTCTGCTTTCAAGCTCGTTCTTGACTTGACCAAGCAAGACAGCCTGAGCATCTATGAAACGCGAAGGCTGACTTGGGCGTTTTGAAGTCCGCTTCTTGCTTCGCGCCGACTTGCTCAAGTTAAGTTGAAGTCGCGAGCCAAGTAACATCTCTGCATTCGGGGGTTAGTATTCAACGCACACAATTCCGTTTTCCTCCGGAGGGAAAAAAAAACAATCTGCATTTCCTTTTCCGTGGATGGTGATGAGGACTTCATCATAGCGGGAACAGCGTTTCGGATGGCCTCGCGCTGAGAACTTATTCGCACGTATAACACAGTTGGCAGCACGCGCGCGCAAGCTAAAAGCAGATGCGCTGCACCATTTGCGCCAACGTTTCTGCAAATCAACGCTTGAATGCATCATTATGATCCGAGCCTACTGTCTTTGTTTTGAACCGTAGCGTTCAAATTTAACAGGACAATTGAAAGCGTAACTGTGTTCTTGTACCCACGTTTGCGTGCACGTGTTCATACATACCCATGTATGTATGTATGTATGTATGTATGTATGTATGTATGTATGTATGTATGTATGTATGTATGTATGTATGTATGTATGTATGTATGTATGTATGTATGTATGTATGTATGTATGTATGTATGTATGTATGTATGTATGTATTATGTATGTATGTATGTATGTATGTATGTATGTATGTATGTATGTATGTATGTATGTATGTATGTATGTTTATGCATGCATTTGGAATTGTGCCGTTGTTACAAGCTGCCACTCAAGCGTCGCCAGCGCGAAGTCGGTGACGGGAATGACAGCAGGTAAGTTCGTTCCATACGCAAGTAGAGACAAACAAGAGATCAGAGACGTGAGAAAGCAAAACAAACTTTACTCTAGTAATATTGCAGCACACGGGATCTAGTAAAACACTTCAATACAACTAACAAAATACATCAACACTTGATAAAACAAAAAATACATATAAAAACAATAAATCAGCTTACGACAGAGAACTATTACAAACTACACAAAATAACAACAATAGAACTACGGAGGAGAAAGTTCGAAGATATAAACAGGTGAAGGCATACGTGTGATGACCGGCAGCGTTGCGTCCCCGACGATCGGATGCGAGAAGTCGAAGAGAGTTCTGGCACGACTGCGATGTCGGCGGTGTTGCAACGCTGGTGGCTCCGGGAGGCTAGTGCTTGCAGGTGACCTCGGGCAGGTTGAGCTAACTCGAGGCAAATTCCCGATGTCTACGTTGCAGACGTTAATATTGCGTCACAACTAGACGAACGGCTAAGTTTAGGTGGCCAGCCGATACAGAGCCACACTAAAAACTTCTAGAAGAGATACTTGCTGATCTGTTTCTAAACCATGTTGGTCAGCGACTAGACTGCCTAGCAGGGCAAAATCCTGCGCTTAAATCTCCCTCGTGTCCCATCGCTCTCTTCCTCGGGGACAAGAGACCTCTAGATGGGTCTAATCGTGCGCTTTTCATTGATGGAAACTCCGCCCAAAAATATATTGACCCCACCCCTTTTTAATTAAGAGAGGGTCCTCAACTCGCGAGAGTGACAACCTGTTGGGGCGCTGTCATACGGCTTGGTCACCAGAGGTTTTCCCACGGTTTTCCCGTGGGAACGATCAGACTGTTTGGCTCTCAGCCGGTGCGTCTCGTAGTCTAATCCTTGTTCGGGGTACATCGCGGCCTTCCACGACCCTGCAGACGCCGCCGCAGTTACAAAAGGATCAAACGTCTTCGAAGAAGAGCACCCCATTCTGCACTTTTCGGCTCTCTTTCATGCGCCCGCCGTTCCCACGGTCAGTGGAGAGTACGGCGCCCGTTAATTGCCGTGACGCGGGGTCACCAAAAATGGCCGTCCGTGACATTGCCCCCCACTTTCAGAATGTTATTCATAACATTTGCTCACACGGAGGCGAATGTTTCGGCAACAAGGAACAAAACACCACCAACAAGGGAGACATGAGGACTGTCCCTCTCATACAAAACATAAATAGGCAGAGTGCATCAAAGTAACAACAAAGGGGAAAAACAATTGTTAGAGTACCAGCTTCAGTTACACGCACAATATTAATGCGCCATACAAACAAGAAAAAGAAATAGCCGTGTACGGCAGCCATCAATACAG